AAAACCCAACCCAAAGCAAAACAAACAACCCTCCCCCCCCCACCAGGAAGTCACAATCTTTCAAAAAGTTTGTCCTCTTCCTTCATTTTTTGAGAATCAAATCGAACTTTCTTCTCCACAAATGATCCCACGGATAACCCAGTTATGACCTAGATCTATACTAATACTATGTAAAGTAAAAGAAACGGTATAATACGCACTTAGCATGACATATAGACTTCTTAACTTTGAAACTTCTTTTTCTCCTCTTTAAATTTGACTTGCCTGGTTTTCTACTCGTCTTCATTTTGCAAGTCTCTCCCCCGCCTTTGACCTGGCCTAGATTTTGTCGCAATGGGCATACAAAACTCAAGCCCCAAACACCAACGCGTAGTCAAGTGACCCCAGGTTGACATAAATCCTCCCTCCCCCCAACCCACTCACAAGTTTCCCTTTCCATCACATCACCACAACTTTCACATCACACAGTCAGTCACACATACTACGCGCGCCTCAACGATTTCACGTCTGCTGCCTTACCGGAAATTCCGGTTTTCCTGTCCGCGTTCAGTGCTGCTGCATACATTAGAAAGTCTACGTGTGCATGTTTGTGAAGTGACGTATGACTTATAGTAGTAGCCTACATGTAGGCGAGTAGCTTTCAGTTGGTGTGTGTGTCTGCACTGGGGTTAAACTAGATCTAGGTCATAGACTTGAGTTACATTTATGAATTTAATCATAATAATACGTGTAACTTAAGCCTACTATAATACATTGAAAGTGGGTGGTTGGCGAGCGGGTGCTCTGGTGTGGTTTGCTTCTCTTTTCCTATCAAACATCTACCGTCTTTATCTCCCCTCCTTCTTTTTTGTGTTTGTTACTCTCTTGTAACACCTCCAATCTTCGGCACTTATATGACCTTATTGTGTTGCACGTGCAGCAAAACACTTACTAAAACTAAAAACTTACATTGCAACGCTGCATAAATCGGGCACTGCCTTGGGTTCCCCTCTCTTTGCTCTCTATAAAAACTTCGCTGAGCTGGTGTACATCACGGGCATACAATAATTATTATTCATTGTTTATTGTTTCAGGAAGCAACATCCCTGCATTCCGGACATATCCATTGATTCTCCGTTTCTCTCTCAAAAATGTCGCCTAGGGTCTTTCCACTGATTGTGCCAGTGAATATCTGGTTGAACGTTCTTTTTTTCCCCTGCTAGTAGGATGCCAGATTTTCCGCTTCCTTTTTGTATTCCCAAAAGTATCATCCTCTCGACAGCAGTACAGGCCCAATGTTCCCATGCCGGACACGCAAATAAAGGGCAAAACACAGATCCTGCCATAGTCGAGTGCTTGTGCAACTTTCCCCCTTTTGCCCTCCCTTTGGTTCCACATACATACCGGTACAGTCGGGCACGGATAACACGAACACAGACATTCGAAATCACGGATAGCTCGTACAATTTGCGGGGGCTGGCTGCCCAGTTTGCCACTGGCCCAATTTGTCACAGGCTCAATTTGTCACAATTTCATTTAAGTGTTTGAGTATTGATGACAGTCATAATTACAGCACTTTAACACTGTTTTTGTAACTCAAGTTTTTTATTCTCCACCTTCAAATTAGTGGTGTAGAGATAGTCCCTCTAATATGTCCATTCAGCTTATGTTGTTCAATATTTCTTCCTTTTTGTATGCAAATCAAAGCAGATTACTTTGTAAAATTTCAACAATGAATGTTCTTTCGTTAAAAACAATTGAAAAATAAAGTTCAATTAATACAATCAATCAATCATTCATTTACTCTTTTTGAGAGTGTCAGAAATAACTCTTCCATCATGCAGGGCACAGTCGAGGCTTGTGACAAACTGGGCGTGTGACAAACTGGCATGCTTCCCAGTCGGGCACAGATAACACGAACACAGAAAGTCGAATTCACGGATAGGTCGTACTATTTGCCATTCCTCGACTTTCATTTTTCTTTTCGGTTAACCCGAATTATGGATGTGCCAAACACTATTTTACGTAAGTTCTAACACCTAGCCTTCTCGGATAAGGCAAAATTGACGAGCGCCTGATTCTGCCGCGTCGTGACACGGCATAATACCATCAACCGAAGAGGTAATGCCGTCGACAGAATTCGGTGGGGAGGTTAGAAATTTTAATTCGAATACGCTCATAATGATTGGCATGCGCCTTTTTGGCAACCTAGAAAATCTTTACTTTATGACCAGAGGAGACCTACTTTCGTACCAAAGTGACGAAGATTAATGGCTATTTTAGAACATTAATATTATTTATGAGCTCTCTCTCCCCCCTTCTCTTTTCTCTCTCTCTCTCTCTCTCTCTCTCTCTCTCTCTCTCTCTCTCTCTCTCT